CTCGCCCAGCCTGGGACCCTGGCTTGACCCTGCCTGCCTGCCCGCCTGTGCCTGTCTGCCCCAGGAGCACTGCCTGAACTTCGTGGTGAAGGAGTCCCACTTCAACCAGGTGATCATGATGAAGGAGTTCGAGCGCCTCTCCTCGCCGCTGATCGTGGAGATTGTGCGGCGGAAGCAGCAGCCACCCCCTCGCACTCCCTCGGACCAGCCAGTGGACATTGGTAGGGAGCCCCGTTCCCCTTCCCACGGGGCTGGGAGGGATGGTGTTCATCTGTGGCAGGAGACTTGGGAGCCATGGAGAGCACCTGCCAGGCCCTCGGGGTGGGGGTGGGTGCCATGGGACCCCAGAGTGCTCTCCTGGGTACAGGGCAGAAACAGATGGAGGCAGAAGCCCCCAACCCATGGGGCTTGCCACAGTGGGCTGTGTCCTGGTGAGCTGGGATTTCCTGAGCCAATTTCTGGGGGTGGACATGGGCACCTCTTTTGGGCTGGGATGTCAGGTCTGATGGCCCAGGGTCACAGTGATCAGTCGCTGGACTTCACTTTGCTTGTAATGTCACAGGCCCCTTCATTCCCTCAGCTCTCCTTGGGGGTCGTGCTGACCCCAGTTGCTGGCTCTTGGTGACATCTGCTGGCACCAGAGGCCATGCAGTGGGCCTGGAGGGGCTTGATCATGAGGGCAGCGAAGGGGGGCACAGCAAGCTGGGTGGAAGATGAGACACTGGGTGGTGGGCTGTGTGTTCGGCATAGTGCTCGAGTCGGCCAGGGCGCTGAGGGAGGACAGAATGTGGCTGATGGTGCCTCAGGGCCAGAGTGAAGCCTTCTGCCTGGGTGAAGTTTTGTTCAGAGCGGCAACATGGGCAGATGTGCAGGAAGGTAGTGCCGTGGGGCCCCAAGGCCAGAATCCCAGGCTGTACCTGCTCAGGGTCCCTCCCACCCCCAGGCACGTCTCTGATCCAGGACATGAAGGCATACCTGGAGGGGGCGGGTGCAGAGTTCTGTGACATCACGCTGTTGCTGGATGGGCACCCACGGCCAGCCCACAAGGCTATCCTGGCCGCCCGTTCCAGGTGGGTGGGGGCTGGACGGGAGGGGAGGGTGGGCCTGGATGGTGTCTTCGTTCTGCTGACAGCCGGGTGCCTGCCGCTCATTGTCTACAGCTACTTTGAAGCCATGTTCCGGTCCTTCATGCCCGAGGACGGGCAGGTGAACATCTCCATCGGGGAGATGGTGCCCAGCAGGCAGGCCTTTGAGTCCATGCTGCGGTACATCTACTATGGCGAGGTCAACATGCCACCCGAGGACTCGCTGCATCCTCACTCCCCAAGGAACTCCCAGGTCCCCACCAAGGGATCCTGGCACCCACCTCGGGTGGCTTTGAGGCCCGCTCTCCTGCCCTAGCTAGGCGATCTGGGCCCAGCGCCTCCCTCCAGAGGATTTGCTGGTGCCTGGAGCTGGGCCAGGTGCTCTCTGAAGCAGTTGGCAGCTGGCAGGGAGGGGTTTGCAGCCAGGAGGAACCAGTGGGTTCCTGACCCTCACAACTGCCCAGAGGATGGGGTGGGTCATTGCTTTGTGTGACAGTTGAGCACAGACATGGAACTACTCCTCTTATGTCACTTCAGTAGGGGTCCGAACATGGAAGGTCACGATGCCTGTTAGGTTTGCAAGGCCATGGAATTGCGCTGCAGATGTGCAGACAGTATTTTTCTGGGAAGGGGATTCATGGTATTTGGATCCTCAGTGGGGCCTCTGACCCACTAAGTAGTTCAGAATCCATTTAGAGAGCATGCTGGTGTGTGGGCTGGATTGTAGTCTGGCCCCTGGTGGGCTTGGGGCTCAACCTGTGCCCCTCCCTGTCCTTCCCTGGGAGGGTGTGGGTGGACCAGGTTCCTTTGGTCAGCTCCTTAACCAGGCCCCAGCTACTTGTTTGCGGCCCCCTACTACTACGGCTTCTACAACAACCGGCTGCAGGCATACTGCAAGCAGAACCTGGAGATGAACGTGACGGTGCAGAATGTGCTGCAGGTAGCCCCCCAGCCCCGTGCCCACAGCTGCAGCTCCCAGAGTGGGTGAAAGGGGCAGCGCCTCAAGGTCCCTGCCATTGCAGATCCTGGAGGCAGCCGACAAAACGCAGGCGCTGGACATGAAGCGGCACTGCCTGCACATCATCGTGCACCAGTTCACCAAGGTCAGGGCTCTGGCCTACCCTTCAGGACTTGCTTCCCCTCAGCAGTGGCCACGCCCAGGCAGGGAGGGGTGCCCAGGCTCTGTGGTCCCCTGCAGTCGTGGGTCCTGGGGGTGAGCGAAGCAGAGCAGCCCACCACTGGCTGCACCTTGCTTCATCCTTGGGACCAGCCTGAGCCCCGAGCAGGGTGGGCCCCAGAGGGCTCCACTGCCCACCATGGCCCTTATGTGGATCTGGTCCCATCTCCTTCCGGCCTGCTTGCCTTGCAGGTCTCCAAGCTGCCCACGCTGCGGTCGCTGAGCCAACAGCTGCTGCTGGACATCATAGACTCCCTGGCCTCCCACATCTCAGACAAGCAGTGCGCGGAGCTGGGCGCCGACATCTGAGGCCCTGTGGCGCCTGCCCATTGTGAACAATCACCGTGCCTGCCTGCCCTGCCCACTGAGAAGACTACTGGCTATGTGTCTGCCTATGGCAGAGTAGGTGCACCTGCCAGGCCGAGGGTCAGGGTGCCCAGAGCCTCCAAAGAGAGCTGAGGGGATGTGGGGCCCCAATCTCCTCAATTCACTGAAGACACAGGTCCCACAGAGAGCAGATGATGAAGCAGACCCCCTCCCCTGTCATCACCCTCTCCCGATGTGGTGTGGATGTGAGGCCACGGCTCAGTGATGGGCTCACCACCTGGAAGTGGGGAGAGACCTTGGGCCTCCCACCCAGTGGTGCTTGGCCTGGCTCCTGTGGCCTGGGTGTGTTGTGGACCCAGGCACTGGGGCCTGTCACCAAGGCTCCTCCAACATGCGGGAGGAGGCTTAGCAGACTTGCGCTGCACCATGGAATCTGCCTGGGCTGCTCCTGTCCCGCCCACCCTCATTGAGATCCATGTAAGGGGCTCCTTTTCCCACCTGGAACTTGTGTGTGTGGACCCATGATGTGTGGGTCTCACCTGACTTGAGGTGAATTTTGGAGTGAAGGGCCCTGAGGTCAGCTCCCAGGTCGGTCGTGCTGGGCCAGGCCTGGTTTTCACAGGGGCTGAAGGATCCCAGTCCACCTATGTGCATGTTGGGGCTCAGCCGGGAAGAAGCCAGCCAAGTCCTGCGTGTCCCTTGCTGAGTATTCTATCACAGACAAGCCTCCATTAAAGCCACAGCAGTGCTACCTACCACACACACCTTGCTGGTCCAGCCACCACTGCTGGCCTCAGCCCCTTGGCCCTCCCGCAGTCGAGGACTGGCTCTGGAGCCCATGGCTTAGCAGATCCCCAGCTGTAGGTCAGCTGGTCTTACCTGTCTCTATCCATGCTGTCAACTCCTACCCCCACCTGTGGTCACCCGGTCACACTGGGGGAGAAGGGCTATGAAGGCCTCCAGGCTGGCCCCTCCCAGGGGAATCCTGGAGGCGTGGGGTGGGCTCCTGCCCCTTCTGCCCTGCCTTGCCCCTGCACTGTGCTCTTGGCTCCTGTGGAAGGCAGACTGCCCTCTTGCCCTAGTGAGGGCCCCATGTGAATCCACTCTGATGCTGGGAAACCAGTGCTCCCTTATTGGGAAGAGGATTCCAGGACCCCTTTTTTGTTGTGGCTGCCATGAAACCACAGCTCACCTTAGGGAAGTGACCTGCTCTCCTCTGGCTGTATGCAGGTAGACGGGGGGCTTTGAGTGGCAAGTTGCTTAGCTAACAGGAACAGATCCATAGGCAGCCTGCAGGCCAGGAAGTGGCCTGGTGCAAGATGAGCTGTGAACAAGGGAGGAGCGAGCGGGAGCTAGGGCAGAGGCTGAGCCAGGAGGCCCATGCGGTGAGGACACAGCAGGCCCAGGACCATGGCTGGGGGTATATGTCAGCACCTGGAAGTGGAGTGCAGGCTGGGGCAGCCAGCCATGTGGGCCAGGTGCATTCACTCAGAGTGGGGCCGCAGAGCCACCTAGCCAGTTTCCACATGTGGCTCCTGCCACACCCACAGGGTAGCCTCCTCCAAATCCCCCTCCTGGACAGGTCAGCCCAGAAGCCTCCTTGAACTAGTCTGCAAACCCTGCTCTATGCTGACCCTTGTCGCTGAACCCTGAGCTATCTCTCCTTGACTTATACAAATAAATGAAATTACATGCCAAGGGCCCTAAAAAGCAAATTTTACAAAATTGTGTGGCAGTTTCTGGGACTAGAATGAATTCAGTTGTACTCCTTGGCAGGGAGAGTCCATGCTTGCAGTGAGTCACCCCACACACAGAGCTGCTGGAGAATTACAGCTGCAGCAAGGCCTTCCAGGTTCTGGGAGTTGGAGGAAAAGGATGCTGAGGCCAGGACCTGAGTGCTTGTCTCCAAGTTCTAGCCACCTCTTCCTAGATTTCCAGGGACTAGCTTGTTGGGGCTTCACTACCTGCTGACATGCCCCAGGAGGCTGATGACTGTCATCATCGTCCCTGTTTTTCAAATAGAGATGGTAGTGAAGGGGGACGGGGAGAGGGTTGCCCTGCTTATCCACCAGGCTGATGGGGCCTGTGGACAGAAGCCTGTCGTGCCCCTGCTTGAGAACCGAATCCGGACTGGGTTTCAGAAGTGTTCTCAAAGGGGCTGGCTGGTTTAGGTCAGGGCTGTTGCAGATCCTATGGAAAGGGCACCTGGAGCTTCAGAGAACCCTGTGGGGCATGGAGCTGCACTAGCAGGGCTGTCTGCCACCACTAGCTCTGAGGGATGACAGCCAGGCTCTCTGTTCTCCTTGGCGAAGAGCTTAGACTGAGCCCTCTGGAAGCTGCAGCCACTGTCTGGGGCAGAGAGCTTAGTACTCAGAGGGGCTCCAGCCCCCAGCTGAGCCAGACAGCAGGCCCTCTGTCTAGAATCCGCTTTATTATGGCACCTGGTGGGATCTGAGAGAGGAAGAGGCAGCAGCCTTGCTGGGCAGCCCCTCAGTCAGTCCAGCGGCACCTCCCTTAGGCCATGCTGCTGCTCAGCTGCATGGCAAAGTCCTGCACATGCTCCTTCAGAGTCTGGCGGGCATCCGCCTGTGCCCTCTTCTCCCGTGCCCGCTCCTGCTGCAGCTTGGTTAGTCTCAGCCGCAGCCGCTGCTCCCGCCGCTTGCAGGCCTGCAGCTGGCGCTGGGCCTTGTCAAGAGCATCAAGGGCTGCCTCAGCTCGCCGCTTCCAGAGTAAGGCACTGCCCACCTGGTAGCTGTGTTCATTCTGGATGTAGGCTCCAGCGGGTGGGGGCAGGCGCAGCATATAGGCCGAGGGGGAGACTGGCCGTGGCTCGAGAGGGGAGGGCTGCCGCTCTGGCGAAGGCTGGGCACTGCAGCCTGCTTCATCTGCCTGGGCACCCAGGGGGCCCAGGAGGTCTGAAAAGGGGCTGCTAAGGCCAGGCTCCAGCCTCCCCGCTGGGGAGGCCGGCAAAGTGGCAGGTGCTGAGGCCTCTTCCACAGGAAAGCAGGTGACATCAGCAGGTGGAGGTGGAGAAAATGGAGTTGTGGGCCCTCGGCCTTCGGAGCAGCTAGTAAGGGAGAAGAGAGAGACTGATGGGCTAGGCTGAGGGCTTGCCAGACCCCACTCCACCAGCCCACCTGATCTCCTTAACGCCCAAACCCGATCCACAGATTCTGTGCAGCAAGAACCCTGTCCAGTTAGACTGCTGGCAGACCCCCTAGGGCCCAATCTCTCAGCCTAGGGGTGGGAGTGGGGCATTCTCCACCCATACCACATACCGCTTCCTGCATCGTCTGAGCCGGCTGACTTCGGGGGGGCCAGGTGGATAACTGTGTCCTTTGGTTTTGGCTGTCCTGCGCAACTTGGAGAAACTCTCAAATATAGTGGGGACTGCCCCCTCCTTTAGCCTGTGATATCCGCTGTGGGGAAAAGCAACCCAGATGAGCTGGAGAGCAAGTGCTGCCTCCCCAGGCCAATCTGCCCCCAGCACCAGCGCAGTGGGAGGCTAGAAGGCATCGCGCAAACAATAGGTCTGGGGAATGCCAAGTCAGAGCTACACCAATCGCTTCCCTGCAGGACCCCTCAAAGTGGAGGTGCGTGGAAAACCTGCACAAGCAGAGCTGGGCTGACCAGCCAAAAAGAATTCTTTGATTTGTGGACTTGCTGGCAAGATTGGGGCTCTGAAACATACTCTCTGGAAAGGCTCACGTTTTTCCCGGTGTCATGGCACAGTGATCCTGGGGGTGGGTCTCACTGTACAGAGCTGGGAAGAGGAAACAGCCCCCCTGGGACGCAGGCTGCTCAAGGGACTTCAGGACCTGCAGCTGTCCCAATCCGCCTGAGGCCCCACGTCCTACCCCAATCCTCACCTGATTCCCACCAGCTCAAAGCAGTTCTCCTCAAAGTGTTTGGAGCAGAAGTAGATGTACTCGGATGCCGGGTCCCACAGGCCCTGGCCGCTGGGGTCCAGCCGCTGGCAGTTGGCCAGCCACAAGCCTCGCCTCGGGTTGTCCTTCTTGGGAAGTCTGTGGAGCCACAAACCCGTGAGCACCAGGCTGTCCATAGCCCTGGGCTCATGCTGCCCAAGCTCCCCAGGGGGAAAACGCAGACCCAACACGCGCCACCACGAGACCTCCCTGCGACCCCGCCAGGTAAGCACCACCGCCCCGGCACAGACGAGGCAATGGGAGCCTCGAGAAGAAAAGCAGTTTCCTCAGCGTCGTCTGGCAGGTAACAGAGTGGGGCAGGTCCAAGCCAGCTAGCCTTCCCGTCCTCCCCGTCCCGACTGCATTTGGTCCCGCGGGGACCGTCCCGCTTCGCCTCCCACCCACAGGTTCAAGCCTCCTCAGGATCCGAGAAAGGCGCGAAGCCTCTACGCAGTTGCGGCCCGAGGCGAGCAACGACTAGCGCATGCGCACGAGAACCCGCGCACGCGCGCTGACCTGTGGAAGGAGATGCCGCGGTTGCGCGTCTCGCGCGTGTCCCGTGTGCAGCAGCCGGCAGCGGAGCAGTGACGCGGCATCTGGGGAAGAGGCGGGAGTTAAGTCGCAAGCGGCTGTCCGGGCTTCCAGAGGAGCCTCGCGCCTCTAGCCGCCGCTCCTCCCCAAGGGGCTCTGGCCCGTCGGGTGCCCCCCGGCCCGTTGTTGCCCCAACCCCGTCCCAGCCGGTTTCTTGACTTCTGTCAGCGGCACTCACGGTCTGGCCATTGCTGCGCCGCCGAAGTCTCGCGAGGGGTAGCGCGCGCCGGAAGTTGGTACCATAGAGACTGGAGAGCGGGAGGTGCTCCGCCGCGGGGCAGGGCGGGGCGAGGTCCTAGCGAGCTCGGTTTGGAAGCGGCGCGACTGTGCGAGTCTCTGTTGCGCCCGCGTCGGCCCAGCTCCGTGGACTACCAGTGTTGTCGCCCATGTGGGCTTGTCTTTCATGGGTTCAGGCCTCACTCTTCTCCGTAAACACCCCGGCACGATGGAGCGGCCCCAGTGTACGGGTCGGCCCGGGAGCGGAAAGCTGCCTTGTCCTGGGAGCTGCCTGTCCAGCTCGCTTCCGGAAGACCTCTGACTGACGAAAGAAAACGGGGCCTGGCACGGTTGCACAGAAGAACCCGACAAAAACCAGAGCCCGCACTCACTCTCATACCGGGGAGGTGGACTTGAGAGAGGGCAGGGTATGCCCCTGAGTACACTTGGGACGTGTGCTGGTCAGGAGGTTCCATTGTAACCAGCTTCTGCAGGGGCGTGACGGAGTCGGGGAAAAGCTGAGGATGCCAGTATGACAGGCACCGTCGGGAACTGCGCCTGCGAAGCCCGTGGACACATGACCCGGCGGGCTGCCTAACTTTTTTTTTTTTTTTTTTTGAGACGGAGTCTTGCTCTGTAGCCCGGGCTGGACTGCAGTGGCCGGATCTCAGCTCACTGCAAGCTCCGCCTCCCGGGTTTACGCCATTCTCCTGCCTCAGCCTCCGGAGTAGCTGGGACTACAGGCGCCCGCCACCTCGCCCGGCTAGTTTTTTTTTTGTATTTTTAGTAGAGACGGGGTTTCACCGTGTTAGCCAGGATGGTCTCGATCTCCTGACCTCGTGATCCGCCCGTCTCGGCCTCCCAAAGTGCTGGGATTACAGGCTTGAGCCACCGCGCCCGGCCTGGGCTGCCTAACTTGAGCCCTCATCTCCTCCCATAAGACTCAGTGAAAATAGCCGCTCCATTCAAGGGCTTCAGAAGGTTTAAATGCAAAAATAGGCCGGGCGCGGTAGCTCAACGCCTGTAAGTAATCCCAGCACTTTGGGAGGCCAAGGCGGGCGGATCGCAAGGTCAGGAAATGGAGACCATCCTGCCAACATGGTGAAACCCCGAATCTACTAAAAAAAAAAAAAAAAAAAAAAAGCTGGGTGTGGTGGTGCTCGCCTGTAGTCCCAGCTAGTCTGGAGGCTGAGGCAGGAGAATCGCTTGAACCCGGGAGGCAGAGGCTGCAGTGAGCGGAGATCATGCCACTGCACTCCAGCCTGGGCCACAGAGTGAGACTCCGGCTCAAAAAAAAAAAAAAAAAAAAGTAAAGCATTTTGTCCTAATTCCCTCAGTTAGTGTTTTGAAGCCAGCATTAGGGAAGTAATGCAATTACTAAACATACTGACATGCTTAATTTCTTCAAGAAAACAAATTGGCCGTGCGCGGTGGCTCACGCCTGTAATCCCAGCCCTTTGGGAGGCCGAGGCGGGTGGATCACCAGGTCAGGAGATCCAGACCATCCTGGCTAACACGGTGAAACCTCGTCTCTACTAAAAATACAAAAATTAGCAGGGCGTGGTGGCGGGCACCACTCCGTTGAGACTTCGTTTCAAAAAAAAAAATGAAACAAATCGATGTTTTTTCCCGTAGAAATGCACTTGGAAAAGGAAGGTTATCTGGAGGAGGAATCTCAAAGTACAACACAGGAGAAAGACAATATCGCAATACAGAAATTTTATTTATTTATTTATTTATTGAGACGAGTCTCGCTCTGTCACCCAGGCTGGAGTGCAGTGGGGCGATCTCGGCTCACTGCAAGCTCTGCCTTCCGGGTTCACGCCATTCTCCTGCCTCAGCCTCCCGAGTACCTGGGACCACAGGCGCCCGCCACCACGCCCGGCTAATTAGCAATACAGAAATTTTAATAGATAATTAGCTTTTCTAACGTTATGGTGGGGAATACAGAGGGATGGTTGCCTGCCGCACCCTCCCCTCACTATTCTTCGCCTTCTTCAGCCTCAGCTTCCATGGAATCCATGCCCACCTCTTCATAATCCTTTTCCAGAACTGCCAGATCCTCGCGGGCCTCGGAGAATTCCCCCTCTGCCATGCCTTCCCCCATCTACCAGTGCACTAAGGCGCACTTGGCCGAACTTATGATCCAGGCAGGCCCAGGCCTCCGTGATGGCTATGGTGTTGCTCAGCATGCACATCGCCCACTGCACCTTGGCCAGGTCTCCCACAGGGACTACCGTGGGGGGCTGGTAGTTAATGCCCACCTGTCAGAGATGGGCAGCATAGAATGAAGTTTATATTGGCCTCAGAAATGGTAGCTCATTAAAAATTAGAGCTGTGAACCAGTTCCAACACTGTGTTTTAAGAATTTTTGGTGGCCGGGCGCGGTAGCTCAAGCCTGTAATCCCAGCACTTTGGGAGGCCGAGGTGGGCGGATCACGAGGTCAGGAGATCGAGACCATCCTGGCTAATCCGGTGAGACCCCGTCTCTATTAAAAAATACAAAGGACTAGCTGGGCGAGGTGGCGGGCGCCTGTAGTCCCAGCAACTCGGGAGGCTGAGGCAAGAGAATGGCGTAAACCCGGGGGGCGGAGCTTGCAGTGAGCCAAGATCGCGCCACTGCACTCCAGCCTTGGCGACAGAGCAAGACTCCGTCTCAAAAAAAAAAAAAAAAGAATTTTTGGCATTATCTGTATCGACAATATCCTTTGATGACTTCCTTTTTCTTTTTTTCTTCTTCTTCCTCCTTTTTTTTTTGTTTTGCTGCTGCTGTTGTTAAGACAGGGTCTAGCACTGTTGCCCAGGCTGGAGTGCAGTGGTGCAATCGCCGCTCACTGCAACCTCTGTCTCCCAGGTTCAAGCTATTCTCCTACCTCAGCGTCCTGAGTAGCTGGGATTACAGGCATGTAAGATGGAGCCCGGAAGACGGAGATTTCAGTGAGCCAAGATTTTGCCACTGCACTCCAGCCTGGGCTACAGAGTGAGACTCTGTCTCGGAAAAAAAAAAAATATATATATACACATATATATGTGTGTGTGTGTGTGTATATATATATATCCCATATTACCCATACAGTAAAACACATGAACAAGAATGAGAACCCTGTCTTGGGATATAAATACATCCAAGGTATATTGTATACTTTATATATAAAAAAAAAAGTGAGTTGAAGTCTGTATTTATGTGCAAAAAGATCTATGTAATAACATACACAGGCTAGAGCCTTGGGCGGCTAGGGTAGCATCATGCCGGAGGAGGACAAACGCCTGCCGAGGCGGTGACCCTACCCTGCCCTAACAAACGCTTAGCAGTTAGCAGCAGCTAGACACAGACAGGCTCCACAGGAGTTGGAAGGGGCAGAGAGAAGGGTTTGTACCCTGATCAGGGAGTGTTCTCCCACAACTCTAAGGCCAAGGCAATCAGCCCTTCCAAGTGGGAGTGCTGCCAGCTTTCTGTTTTCTGTGACCACCTATGTGCAGTGATTGGGCCTGTCACCTGCAGGAAAGGGACATACATGTCTGTTGGCCACTGCCAACATCACCTGTATAACGAGAGATTACTATGCCTTGAATATGTACAGAACGTTTTTCAGAGGACAGAAGCAGCCTTGGGGAAGAGGAGGACTTCAGCTTTTCAGTCTTCTGCATTCTTTTAGTATTTTGCCACATACCAGTTTTTTTTTGGTTTGTTTTTTGTTGTTTTTGAGACAGGGTCTCACTCTGTCACCCAGGCTTGAGTGCAGTGGTGTGATCTCGGCTCACTGCAACCTCTGCCTCCCGAGTTCAAGCGATTTTCCCGCCTCAAGTGATCGCCTGCATCAGCTTTCCAAAGTGCTGGGATTAAAGGTGTGAGTCACCGCACCCAGCCCATATCAAGTTTTGTGGGGTTTTTTTGTTTTTTGTTTTTTGCTTTTTTTTGAGATGGAATCTTGCTCTGTCACTCAGGCTGGAGTGCAGTGGCACAATCTCAGCTCACTGCAGCCTCCACCTGGGTTCAAGTGATTATCCTGCCTCAGCCTCCAGAGTAGCTGGACTTACAGGCAACCACCATCACACCTGGCTAATTTTTGTATTTTTAGTAGAGACAGGGTTTCACCATGTTGGCCAGGCTGGTCTCGAACTCCTGACCTCAGGTGATCCACCCACCTCGGCCTCCCAAAATGCTGGGATTATAGGCGTGAGTCACCGACCGCACCCAGTTTTTTTTTTTTTTTTTTTTTTTTTTTGAGATAGGGTCTTGCTATGTTGCCAGGTTAGAGTGAAGGACAGTGGTGCCATCTTGGTTCACTGCAGCCTCAACCTCCCAGGCTTGAACAGTCCTCCTCCTCTCAGCTTCCTGAGTAGCTAGCACTACAGGAAATGTGCCACCATGCCCAGCTAATTTTTTATTTTTTGTAGAGACAGGGTTTTGCCGTGTTGCCCAGGCTGGTCTCAAAGTCCTGGGCTCAAGCCATCCACCCCACAGATTACAAGTGTGAGACACTATGCCTGGCCAACATAAGTACTTTTATAATAAAAAACCCAATTTTTTTTTTTTTTTTTCCTAAGGGTCTTGTTTTGTCACCCAGGCTGGAGTACAGTGGCACAATCATAGCTTACTGCAACATCTGCCTCCCAGGCTCAGGTGATCCTCCCACCTCAGCCTCCCAAGTAGCTAGAACTATAGGTGTGTGCCATCACACCCGGCTAATTTTTTGTATTTTGTGTAGAGATGGAGTTTCACCATGTTCCCCTGGCTGATCCTGAACTCCTGGACTCAAGCTTTTTTTTTTTTTTTTTTTTTTTTTTTTTTTTGGTGAGAAAGGGCCTCACTTGGTCACCCAAGCTGGAGTGCAGTGGTGCGATCTTGGCTCACTGCAACTTCTGCCTCCTAGGCTCAAGTGATCGTCCTACCTCAGACTTCCAAGTAGCTACAGGTGCGTGGCATCATGCCCGACTAATTGTATTTTTGGTAGAGATGAGGTTTCACCATGTTGCCTAGGCTGGTCTTGAACTCCTGAGCTCAGGTAATCCACTGACCTCAGCCTCCCAGAGTGTTGGGATTATAGGCAATGAGGCACTGTGCCCAGTCCCCAAATGTTTTTAAGCATGGAAAAGACTCTTTGAAAATAGCGTATCCGAGGCTGGGTGCAGCAACTCACGCCTGTAATTCCAGCACTTTGGGAGGCCAAGGCAGGTGGCTCACTTGAGTTCAGGAGCTCGAGACCAGCTTGGCCAACATGGTGAAACCCTGTCTCTACTAAAAATACAAAAATTAGCCAGGCATGGTGGTGCATGCCTGTAATTCCAGCTACTCGAGAGGCTGAGACAGAATTGCTTGACCCTGGGAGGCGGAGGTTGCAGTGTGTTCTGTTGTACTCCAGCCTGGGTGACAGAGCGAGACTCCATCTCAAAAAAAAAAAAAAAAAAAAAAAAAAAGCAGCAGCAAATGGTTGTTAAAGAACATACGGTTGGCCGGGTGCAGTGGCTCACACCTGTAATCCCAGCACTTTGGGAGGCCAAGGCAGGTGGATCACCTGAGGT